TTGTGCACACCCTTCAGTAAAACCATTATACCTGGTGTAAACAATCCAAGGATGTTGGGATGAGTAGATTGCACCCGGTCAGGGTGTGTAGTGCCCGCACCTGCAATGAGGTGTGCAAACAAGCCCTCACTTTGGATGTCAATGCCAGCTCCCGATCCGCGCCCATTCTCTGCACCCGCTGGTATACGTCTAATTGTGTGTTGCTTTATGAGGGCAGTGCAAGTCTGGGCTGATTCTTCCCTTTGGTCCACGCCCCCTTGACTTTTTTTTTCTTTTTATCCATTTCTTCTCGCTGGGAAAGAGCAGCCACGGACAGAGCGTCATCTACGTCGCTCCAAATTGTGCAGGAACAAATTGTTTTGCTCAACAAAAATATGTTAACTATGCTGCGTGCAAACGTGCCAGGCCTTTTGTGCTGCGTCCGTCCGAATCAGCTATGTGAAAACATCCTTGATGAGTTCAGATTTGCTTTCACAGATGACGCAGGACAAGGAGGGCTTTTGTCGAGCCTTTTGTTGTGTTGAGTGAGCCGAGAGGCAATCAGAGTGATTTCTGTCCAGCTCTTGGACAGATTAAGAGACAGGCCATATGGAACAAGGCCCCAAGGATATTTATGTACGCTAAAGAGGCACGTCAGGAATGTGGACGCGGTAGATGACCTGCACATATCTCCAAATACGGCCGGCTGACATTTGTTTATTGCTCCTGTGCGCAAGTCACCACGATTTGTGTTTGTTTACCGGGAGCGTGTGTGTGTGGAGCCGGACTGCCACCTTTTGAAATGATAACTACGCTAACAAAGAAATCGTGTTTTTAAATTGCAACATGCAAGATATGAGAGTGGGATGCGTATACGCTCTATAAAGACTGAAAGTGCAGTGTATTTGTTTTTTATTTAATATGTTTATTTATTTGTTAGAAAAAGGGTTATAAATTGGCATCTTTGTGCTGTACTTTGTGGGACCTTCTGTTGCTTTGAGACTTCTAGGGAGGAGAAACACGACTTTTGGAGGAAGGCAAAGGTTAAACGAATATGAAGTTTTACTAACAAAAAAGCTGAAATCGATAATAATAACGGTAATAAAGAACATACCCAAATGATCACAAGGAATGTGTACTAACATGGAATATATGAAAGGTAGAACGTTCTTGTATTCAGTCTCTGTCTCTTGGTCGGTGCACCGCTTTGTCTTACTGACTGAAATATCTCCTCCACTGTTATATAAAATATATTTATGATCCGAAGAAGATGAGTCCTGATGACTTGATGATCCCGTGCCTTCGTGTTTAAAAGTTCCCACAATGCAGCCGGACTAAGCACTGTTTGTTTTAGCAGTAAACAGCCGGTCAACAACTGTGACACCGTCAAAACAGGCCTCCTCTATTAATTCGCCAAATTTGGGGAAAATATTTTCGCTGAAAGCCCCATTGGAATTAAATAGAATAAGCAGTTACGCTCTCAGCAGCAGTTACATCAGATTATTCACAACACCCAAACGTCTTTTTTCTCCAAAGCGCCGAGCTCGGGAATGCAAATGACATTGTCCATGGAAGCCCATGAAAAGGAGCTGGCACACCGTGACCTCCTAATAGGCTGAAGATGGAACTGGGTCCAGTGTACATTCCTAGACGCTATTAGATATTTAGAAATCACTGAGCGACTGAGCCTGTAGCGACCAATGTGTTTTCCCCGCTAATGGTCCTGGGTCGGACCCAGTAATGTCATGGTTGAACACTCCAATGAGTAGTTTATTAGGAAGCAGTGGGGGCAGTGAGAGGGCACAAAGAGAGAGACGCTCTGGTGGCCATCTGTGGGTCTGCACTGGCGGAAAATGGATTCGGAGCCCAAGAATGCATCAGATCTAATTGCATTGGTTCCACGTGGTCCAAAAGTGCAAATCTTCACGCCATTGTTCAGAATTATAAAGCAAAACGTACCACAAAGTGACGGACAACATAGATACTTGGCAAAGTAAACGCATACGGGCATAATTTGGTCCATAGAAGCTTTGTGTTTGTGTGCTTTGTGCTGGTTAATTGCCGTAAAGAAGCAGAGGCTTGGAGCCGTGTGTGTGTGTGTGTGTGTGTGTGTGTGCGTGCGTGTGTGTGTGTGTGTGTGTGTGTGTGTGTGTGTGTCTGGGTGTCTGGGTGTTGTGCATGGAGAAATAGCACCAGTAACAGGGGTGTGTGAGGAGTCTCCCCCACCTGAAGATCACACAGCACCTGTGCACAGATTCCTTTCCCCTACTTGATGTATATTAAATGTCTCCTCACGATTACACAACGTTGATCTTCCGATGTTTTCTTGAACTAGACAAAAAAAACAGAGATGCAATAATATGAAACACAAATTATTATACGTTTGCTTGAAGAAAAGAAAATAGCCTACTGTATCAAAATAATTTGCCTTTAATCCGGCTCTGCCGTGACACAGGATATCTGTTCTCTGGTGACGGCGCAGGGAAGAGTAGATGCTGTAAATATGAGAAACATTCCCAGAGTCTCAGGCTTAAGTGCGCGTAGGCCGTGGAAAGTGCTTCAACAGACGAAACCCTCGGCTATAATCTCAGAGCGAAGAAGTGTGACAAGGACAGAATTAAGATGTGGAAAAATTATAAATTTCCTGCATTCATTTGTTCTTCCTTAGAAAGTATGTACATCAAACCCACCAGCTGGACGGGAATCTGACTTCTTCCGATAAGCATATATTTCTGTCAACACTGACAATACAACTCATTTCAACACCTCTAACAGTAATTAGGCTACTTAATACCCAATTATCAGCTTTCTGATGCCAGTTATTATGTATCATCTCCTTTATCTCCTCTCCATGCTACTCATCTTGAGTCTTGATCCTCCTCTTCCTCATTCCTCATCTTGGTTTTCATTTCCTCCGTTTTTCCACTCCATTTCTTTTGTTCAAATCTATTCATCTGAATTCTCCGATCTTTTTCCTCTTTATTATCTACTTTCCTTGTTTTTTCCTTCCTCGTATCTAATCCTCTTTTCTGGCTGCTTCTCTCACCTGCTCTTCTTATTTCCCCGTTTGTCCTCTCCTGTCTTAGCTCTGTTTCTTCTCTCACGTCCTTGTGTCTTTCACTCTTCCACTCTCCTCCTTTTCGTTAACGTAGAGAAGAAATAGGAAGAAGACGCGTGGTGTCCATGCTCTCATGAGCTCTGGTGATTGCGTGTGGCAGACCTGCAGATTGTGTGCACAACTTTCTCCTTGATCCTTTTATTTAGATTTTCTCCAGCCAGAATCAGCAGCACATTCTTTTCCCGAACACGTCCTTTCTTCTTCACAGGCTGAGCTTGCTAGATAACAAACCCAACACAAATACACGTCTTAAAAGAGCTCCTACAGGCTCCCAAATGGTGCATCGCTCAAAGACAACCCGGCTCTTTTGCTCTCTCGGATTAACGCCTTCCTGACCTGATGAAAAGCTGAATCCTTTCATTTTTTCATGTTACATCACAGGCAACTGTTGGGGCACCTGACGCATTGAGGGTGTATCTTCACAGGGTGAGACACTTAAGTCTCCGTCATGGGACCTGACCTGAGACTCTAACCTCAGACCCTGTGTGCAGGATAAGCGGTTTGACAATGGATGGATGGATGGATAAAGACATGCGGCTGATGCATCAAGACCAGAGAGCCAGAAGAAGCTCGGGTTGCTCTGTCAGTCCACGTATCTGTCAAAGGTAGATCTGTAGGCTGTTTTTACACAGAGCACACTTACAGTGGCATTTCCCCCCCAATCCACTACATCTTGACATGTCTACTTTCTAGATGGTAAATGTTATCGTCCTCAAAGATGAAGAAAACGTCAATGAGAAAAAAAACTGATGACAGGCCAAATGGTTGGATGGTAATTTAGCCGATTTGATTAAAACGTCACCACACCAAAGCAGATTAGAGACGTTTTGTCATAATTCACTGATATTTTCCCAATGCTTCAAGCTGGAAGCAGTATGTTGGAAATCCATCACCATCTAGGATATTCTCCTTGTGCACCATAAACAGTGATTTCCCAAGTCAGTATAAACAGACACTGTTTGGTTTACATGAGCCAGCAACATAAATTTGAAACTGCAGCACAAACTAAGTCAGATTTGACATCTAAAGACTAAGGAAGATTTGCCCCACCGACTAATACTGCCACGATTTTAATTGACGCTTGTTTAAACAAGTCTCTTGTTTGAATGGTTCTGAGCAGACATGTTTGCTGCGTGTTTGCTGTTACGCTACCTGCGTTGGTCGAAAAATTAGGATGGTGGAAAAAACAGTAACATAAATCTTCACTTAGAAACCCTGAAATCGTGAGGCTCGGTCTAAAGTGAGAATATCTTTCAACAACTCAACAATGTAAATGTGAAAGTTGCAGGTGTGCTGCAGCACTAACTGCCTCAGGTCACCTCTCTGGTGAACTCACGTCGGCTCCTGGCGGTAAGAGCTGGAACTGCAACAAGCGAATACTGCAAAATCAATGCTGAAAGTCACTGTCACTATTTTTGAATGAAAAACACGTTTTAAACATGGATAATATACTTATATAGCTGCTAGAATGTGGTTCAATAAATTGCACAAAATGAAGTGACAAAAATGAGGGAAATAAAGTGGCAGATTGGTGCATTATGAGCCACACACAACATCCTTAAACATTATCAATACTTTGCATAGCAGAAAGACACCTGTGGGAATAGCATATATAGGAATAAAACAATAGTTTTCAGTGAGCTTATGGAGACCTTTGAGATGGAAATGCTTCAGAGGGCTGATGGATGGACGCTGCCAGAGGAAACACTGGTCCATTAAAATTCTCAGAGCAACACACAGAAGTTGGTCACAAAGCGTTTTTTCGTCTTTCTCCCCCTCCTTGTGTTTCCCACTCTGAGCCGAGAGGATAAGCTCGTCCCTTTTTCTCCCCTCGCAGTGATTGGACGAGGCCACTTCTTAGGAATGGCATCAAACTATTTAAATAGCACTTTGTCCCCCTCGGCTTAGAACCGAGTTTTTTAGCAGCCGACACCAGCAAGGACAAGTTTGCAATCAGGGGGGAAAAAACACGCAAGATTGCCCTTCGTTTGACGTTGGAATTTTTATATTTTAAAAATAACTGGTCATAAATTCATACTTGAGGATTATTGCTGGATTTCTAAATAATTTGCAGGGTTTTATTACTTCTGCCGGGGTGATTTGGTGAAACAGGTAGGTGGTGAATATTCTAAGGAATGTTTCTATTTCTCCAGCTGCACTTTAATAATTAATGATTGATTTGTGACCGGCACAATTTATTTATTCATGCCAAACCTTTTGCACACTGACTTTGTTTTGACATTTATGTTAAAAATAAAGGTTAATTTGTTTGCTGTCTGTCACAGGCAGCTTCACCATGAAGTTGACGGGAATATTTTTGCTATTGATGCTTTGGACCTGCGAGGGTGCGCGGGTCGCAGGTGAGTTGCGGCACAGCGACGTCATTGAACTTGAACACAAAACTCTCATCTATTGTGATGGTTTAGTGTGGATTTTAAAAATTCCGCAGTGTGTTGAAACAGAAAAAAAGCAACAACCACCAGACACCCTTCACTGGCAGACAAAGCCTGGCCGCTTATCGTTGTGATTCCCCCGCAGAGAGCCGAGACGACAACAGCGTGTTCGACTTGTTCGAGCACGTCCAAGTCCCAAAGAAGAGCCAAGCGGTCACCCTGGTGAAGGGAGACGACCCGTACAGCCCCGCCTACAAGATCCTCAACCCGGACCTGATCCCCCCGGTCTCCGAGAGCGCCTTTCGGGACCTGATCGACTCCATCCACGCCGAGCGCGGATTCCTCCTGCTGCTCAACTTCAAGCAGTTCAAGCGGACCCGCGGCAGCCTGCTGACCGTGGAGAAGCGCGACGGCTCCGGGCCCGTGTTCGAGATCGTCTCCAACGGGAAGGCCAACACCTTGGACATAGTTTTCTCCACCGAGAACAAGCAGCAGGTGGTTTCCATCGAAGACGTGGATCTGGCCACGGGCCACTGGAAGAACATCACGCTGTTCGTCCAGGAGGACCGGGCGCAGCTGTTCGCGGGATGCGACGAGGTGAACACCGCGGAGCTGGACGCGCCCATCCAGAGCATCCTGACGCTGGAGACGCCCGACAGCGCGCAGCTCAGGATCGGCAAGGGAGCCGTGAGGGACAGGTTCATGGTGAGAGCCCGCAGCCAGCCGGCCTACGCTGGACGGCAGGGGGTTTATTTATTGTCTGTTTCTTTTCTTTTTTTTTCTCCACCATCGCGCCTTTTTTTAAAAAGTTTTGTTTAAAAACGCAATTTGGTAACGATGTCCGGAAGCGTAAAAATCCACATAAACGGAATGGCTTGGTGATTACATGTAATTCTTTAGGGCGGTTGCAAAAGAAGAGTGGTTATATTTAGGGATGTTCCGGATGATAGCCTTAACAGAGCATCAATGCTTCTAGGGGGTCCTGCAAAACGTGAGGTTTGTGTTTGGAGCATCACTGGAAGCCGTCCTCCGCAACAAAGGATGCCAAAGCTGTAAGTAATCAGCTTCATTCGCTTCATTTGCTTGTTGGTTTTTAAAGCGCTAAATGGGAAGCTGTTCACTTATCACACAGGAAACCCGGTTTACTAATCTTATCAGGGTACTGTGGTCTCAAAGTCTACACTGTGCAGTTCTGACTTTTCAAAATGATTCATTCATATCACGTTGAATAGGCTCACCCACCAATAACTGAACCATAACCATGAACGTGCAAAATACTGGTTTGATTTATTGGATCTGCTTTCAGCATTGACGGCCGACTCCATGATCCTGGAGAACCTCAATGGTTCCTCAGCCATCAGGACCGAATACACTGGACACAAAACCAAAGGTACGTGGTGCTGACATGTGCACTTTCATGTCTGTTGATTGATCCAACCTAGAGACCTGCTACATAAATAGTGACATTTCTTAATTTTATGGTCAACAAATGACCTCCTCTCCTTGTGATTTTGCTCCGGTGAAGACCTGCAGATGGTCTGTGGCTTCTCCTGTGAGGACCTAGTGAGCATGTTCAAGGAGCTGAAGGGCCTCGGTGTGGTGGTCAAGGAGCTGTCCAGTGAACTCCGCCAGATGGTAAAGAAGCCGGTCTCCCTGTCAGCTGCATGTCTCCCTTTGATTGGGTTTGTTATGTGTCTTATGTTACGTTCGCCAGTTGTCCGGCCAAATCATTTTATACTTGATGGTCAGAACTCAGAATTATTACATCTAGATCATTTAACGGCATAATTCTTCTCCTGTTTTACCTGTTTTCCAAACCACATGAAACAACTCCCTACTCCTACTAGTGTTTTTTCTCACCGAATTTAGAGTAACTTTCAGAATATCTTTATAATACAGGTAGATTTGATTAGGAAAAGTGGTTTTTGACACAGTGACAACTAACACAAATAATCAATAAACCATATCCGTGTTTTGTCGTTCCCTCCCAGACGGATGAGAACAAGCTGATTAAGAACCGCGTCGGCGTCTGCCTCCACAACGGCATCGTACACAAGAACAAAGACGAGTGGACCGTCGATGACTGCACCGAGTGCACTTGTCAGGTGAGACCTCCTGTCTCTTAAGTACGTACACACACCCGTGAGGGGGTTGCACCACACACACACACACACACAAACACACACTTACCACAACTCAACTGACCTAGTCAGTAATTAGTAGTGTGAAGAGCTGGCAGGAGGCCAGCAGCCTTTTCGCTGTTGTAATGAGAGGTCTGTTGATAGGAGTCCAACTCTAGTGTTGCCTTCAGGGACTCGACCAGCCTTTAAGTGATGCACTGTAATTAGGAACAAGTGCTTGGCTCTGATATTTGGAAAGACTCATTGAGGTGCAAAACACAAGAGTGCTGCAGTTCATCAACAAGATGAATTTACTGATTTCCTCTGCTACTTTAACACAAGTTGTCCTGGTTTCTTCCCCGTCAAGTGATCAGGCGCAGGAGGGGCGGCATTAGCATGCGTCGTTAGAAGCTGCTGTGTTCTAGTCATTCACAGTGAAGCCGCACTGGTTGTGCAGGCCGGCTTTACTTGTTTGGGGCTCAGCCCAGTCGAACTCTAAAGAGAAAACTGACTTCCATTATTAGGACCGTGGCATCATGCCTGCCCTCTCCTGACCCAGTGGGCAGGTGGCTGTCCGCTGGGGTCTGGGTTCTCAGCCAGAATTCATTTAGTAAGTAAGTGCATACTCAAGCGTTAAACAAAATGACTGATGATGAACAAAAATGAGCCCGCAACAAGCACTCATTTTAAAAGGTTTACAAGACAACTCCAAATAGGTGAGTGACTAAGAATCCGGCGTCGACATTAGGGTGATATCGATATGTTGGAGGATGTGTTTAACCATGCGTTTGATCCGTGTGCTTGCGCAGAACTCGGCTACTGTGTGCCGCAAGATCTCCTGCCCCCTGATCCCCTGTGCTAATGCTACTGTTCCTGATGGAGAGTGCTGCCCACGCTGTGGAACACGTAAGCATTTCCGCACAGCTATAAGTACATAATCTCATTTATGTAAATCACTGAGCTCTTGTATGCACGGCCCTTTAAAGCCAGCACCTGTATAGTTCAGCCAACACTGCCCCATTCACAGAGTGAAATATGCCGTAGAAACCAAAAAGCCACAGATATTTCCCCCTGATGTAAAGGTTTCTATTCAAGAGAAAACATGCCAACTTCAGTGATGATTTAAATGTTACAACATCCGAGTTAGTGAAAGGGTGCTTATGTGTTTGGAACATTGGCGCTTTGTACTCCAAAACGTCTTTGAAATGGCTGCAATTTGCCAAATTGGTTAAAGCGGAATGGAAAAACGGTTGGATGTTTAACCATCTTCTACTTGAGGAGAAGTGACATGTCCTTCATACCTATGCAGGCTTGGCTGCAGTGCTTCCCTAAAACCTAAATAAACAGGGGGGAGCTGCATTCATCCAGACCTCAGCCACTTGTTGAAGTCATTACACACGGGTGCCGTGTTTGCAAAATCTGTTTCCTCTTTAGGAAAACGTAAGCCAATGGGGCATCCCTGTGTATGCCGAGGACTGTGGCCCTTTCTGTTTCTCTAGCTTCTCTCAGTATGTGAGTCTCTGGCCCACCTCTCAACAAACTGCCTTCTATCTGTCCCAGCAAAATCTACACTATTAGCCCTCCGCTCTAAGAGCTTCACCTCCTCATTTAGGTTTGGGGGTGTTTGTGAGGGATGGCGGAGGAGGAGGGGGGGTGCCCTGCTGGAATAGCTCTTATATTGTCTCCCTCTCCCTCCTGCTCAGCGAGCGACTATGCAGAAGACGGCTGGTCGCCGTGGTCTGAATGGACCCATTGTTCCGTGTCGTGTGGGCGGGGCATCCAGCAGCGTGGGCGCTCTTGCGACCGTATCAATAACAACTGCGAGGGCACCTCTGTGCAGACCCGCGACTGCTACCTCCAGGAGTGTGACAAGCGATGTAAGTCAACACAACATACACGTAGATAACAAGTATGTGGATCCAGTATTCATCTGGGGGATTAGCTAAGAGGCATCATCGCCGTATCATAGACGGAGAGCCACAGTGGTCCATCGCTTTGTTTCCTGTATGACCTCTGACCTTTCTCTGGCTGTCTTCAGTCAAGCAGGATGGCAGCTGGAGCCATTGGTCACCCTGGTCCTCCTGCTCTGTAACATGTGGTGCAGGCGTCATAACCCGCATCCGCCTCTGCAACTCCCCCACCCCTCAGCTTGGAGGCAAGGTCTGCGAGGGAGAGGGCCGGCAAACCGAGAAGTGTCAGGAATCTCCGTGCCCCAGTGAGTCTCGCCATCCGATGGGCATTCTTGCATATTTTTTTGTTGGACATGGCAAGGAAACTATTGATTCCTGTTTTCTTCTCGCTCCCCTTAGTCAACGGTAACTGGGGACCCTGGTCACCATGGGATGCCTGCACTCTCACCTGCGGATCCGGTGTCCAAACTCGGAAACGCATGTGCAATGACCCCGCAGCAAAGTACGGCGGCAAAGAGTGTGTCGGTAATGCCAAGGACACCCAGATGTGCAACAAGAAAGCCTGTCCAGTTGGTGAGCCGCTTAATCAATTCCAGACTTCCTTGAGGGGCGTAGGGGCGCCTTCAGGGGGGCACCCGCATGATGTAATGCTGGAAGAAACACAGCTATTTTGTTTACCGTGCTTTAATTAATTATATCACTGTTGTGATTCTTTGGACACTTTTAGTTTTAATATATTAGATATGTTTTTCTACATACAGAGAAGCTCTTTCACGATGAGGATATATTTACGTGATTAGATCTGCATGGCATCTCGCAGACGATGCCTTGATAATGAGCCAGCATCGGTGTTTTCAGATGGGTGCCTGTCTAACCCCTGCTTTGCTGGAGCCAAGTGCATCAGTTTCCCCGATGGTTCGTGGAAGTGTGGAAAGTGTCCAGTTGGATACACCGGCAATGGCATTAAGTGTAAAGATGTAGATGAGGTAAAAAAAGGACTTTGATCTTTAATTCATGATATTATTACTAACATGATACCCTTCTTCAATCTGCCAAGTCATAATGATCATGTTGCTCTTATTATCCTAAAACAGTGCAAGGAGGTCCCAGATGCTTGCTTTGAGTTTAACGGTGTGCACCGCTGTGAGAACACCGATCCCGGCTACAACTGCCTGCCCTGCCCTCCCCGCTATGCAGGACCCCAACCGTTTGGCAGAGGTGTTGCGCAGGCTGCAGCTAAGAAACAGGCAAGTGCTGTCCTGTCTTTGTGTCCAGCAGGCTAATGCAAAAAGCTCTGTCAAAAGAGATATGATATTAAAATCAAATGTTGACAGCATGTGTAACTGCTACAAGTACACACATTTCCAGGCCACTGAAACCATCCCTCCTTCCCTCTCCAGGTGTGCACGGCTCGTAACCCATGCCTCGATGGAAGCCACGACTGCAACAAGAACGCCCGCTGCAACTACCTCGGACACTTCGCCGACCCCATGTACCGCTGCGAGTGCAAGCCGGGCTACGCTGGCAACGGTCACATCTGTGGAGAAGATACAGACCTGGATGGGTGGCCCAATGCTGACCTGGTGTGCGTGGAGAACGCCACCTACCACTGCAAAAAGGTAATTAGCGGTAAAGCAGCGAGGCAGTAAGGACACTTCAGAGATGACCGTCTGAGTAAAAGTCATATGACTTGTATGTTTGTCGTTCAGGATAACTGTCCCAACCTCCCAAACTCTGGGCAGGAAGATTACGATAAGGATGGCATCGGAGATGCTTGTGATAATGATGATGACAATGATGGCATTCCTGATGACAGGGTAAGTAATACTCGCCAAATGTGGAAATGGCAGTGGAATGTGTGTGTGTGTGTGTGTGTGTGTGTGTGTGTGTGTGTGTGTGTGTGTGTTCTGTGGTTTTTCTTATAACAAGACAGATAGAGAGTGGGAACGGGAGCCAAGGCAGGAAAACAAATGTTTCTGTCAGGCCTCAGCCAAAGCCTGAGGTGAGATAAAGGCGTTGCATTGTTTGTTGTCTATTGCCAACATTAGATTTGTAACTGGGGTGCGACGGTGGCGCGTGGAGTAGAGCGGGTGCGCCTGGAACCGCAAGGTCGGCGGTTTATACCCTGGCTGCTCCATGTCCCATGTTGAAGTGTCCCTGAGCAAGACACTCAACCCCTAGTTGCTCCCCGAGCAAAATGTCAAAGCCATGGGTTAATAATGTAATTTGCTTTGGATAAAAGCATCAGCTAAATGACACGTAATGTAATTTAGGAATGTGCCTTTTGATCCTGTAAAATAACCATCTCTGCACCTGAAAATCCTAAACTCTCCGTCTCGCCCTTTGCCTGTGTCATTTTTCAAAACAGGACAACTGCCCGTTCGTGTACAACCCCAGGCAGTATGACTATGACCGCGATGACGTGGGTGACCGCTGTGATAACTGCCCATACAATAGTAACCCTGACCAAACTGACACAGACAACAATGGAGAGGGAGACGCCTGCGCTGTGGATATTGATGGGGATGGTGAGCACCGGAAAGCCTAATAGAAATGATCCTCTGCATATTTAAATCTGTGCTGAATTGAGGTCATGCTTTTAGTAACATTCTATACTTTTCATATCGTGTTTCCAATAATTCCATAGGCATACAGAATGAAAAGGACAACTGCCCCTTTGTGTACAACGTCGACCAGAAAGACACGGATCTGGACGGAGTGGGAGACATGTGCGATAACTGTCCACTGGAACATAATCCTGATCAGGTGTGTGGAGACACACCAACACACACCGCCCCGTCCCCATTTCCTTCCACCTCACCCACCAACAATAATCCACATTCATCTCCTCGCCTTTTTCTATAGCTCAGCATACATCTGTCTTTCAATTGAGACAGAGCCTCAGTGATTAGCCCTGTGTAGCTGTCTAAGCTTTATCACACCATGTAAAGGTGGAGTAAATCCTGTATGCAGCTCAAGGGCACATCAGTTCAATAAGGCGTGGTGGGGGTCTCGGGGTCTTTTCAGGGCTGCCATTGACGTTTGCTGGCTAATGTGAGTGAAGAGGCCCTAGGCGGGATATTACTGAAGAATGGGCTGGCCCTGGGCTGTGTGCATGCCCTGTGTGCGCGCCACGGGCCCGCTCAGTCCACCTGTTCTATGCTACACTGAGAAATAGGAATGTGTTTAACAATGGAACTCAAGAAATGTAACAAAGAAAAGGAGGGGCGAGTCTGAAGCCACGCTGATGTGGTGTGATTTGGGATTGTGAGGGAAATATAGACTGAATTGCGCGCTGCGATTAAATGCCAAAAATGACAAGTCCAGACTAGGACACAGTAATGAAACATGCTGCTCCAAACAGCTGCACAAAAGAAATTCCCTTTTCAAAAGTTTTGGCTGCCAAATTAGGATTCTACACAGGGAGCAATATCCTCACATCACACCCTTCATCTCCTTCCCTTTGTTCCTATTAACCTCCTAATGCAGCAGGGTGTGCCTAGTGCCGCCGAGTGTGGCTAGCATGGCTCCAGCCTTCACTGCAGAGGTGCAACAAAGTCTGGTGGAGTGACGTTTGATTTGCAGAAGCTAACACCTGCTGACAGATCTTAGACAAATTGAGCTTGGCAGCTTTACAAGTTGCTGAGTGATCGCAGCCAGATGAAAGTCCCTAATGAAAGCAGGAGAGGAGAGATGATGGAACAAAAGGTAGCAGGAAACACTGGAGTGAATGAAAATGAACAGAGGGGAATGTAATCAACTATGTTGGTATCGCTAAGACTCCATTGTCCCCTTAATCCATACAAGTCACAGCTCTGACATCAAAGCACTGTCCCATTGCAGGTGGATTCAGATGATGACCGCGTGGGAGACACATGTGACAGCAACCAGGACATTGATGAAGATGGACACCAGAACAACCTGGACAACTGTCCGTACATCCCTAATGCCAACCAGGCCGACCATGACAAGGACGGCAAGGGAGACGCCTGTGACCACGATGACGACAATGACGGCATCCCTGACGACAAGGACAACTGCAGACTGGCCTTCAACCCCGACCAGCTGGACGCTGACGGTGAGCAAAATTGGTGATATCAGCCTTAAAAGACAGTACCTAGAGACAGTTTAAAATCCTTAGTTACCATTCAAATGCGGCGTATATTTTTCAGGTGATGGCCGTGGAGATGCTTGCAAAGACGACTTTGATCAAGACAACGTTCCTGACATCTACGACGTGTGTCCAGAGAACTTTGACATCAGTGAGACAGACTTCCGCAAGTTCCAGATGGTTCCTCTTGACCCTAAAGGCACCTCGCAGATTGATCCCAACTGGGTCGTCCGCCATCAGGGCAAAGAGCTGGTGCAGACCGTCAACTGCGACCCTGGCATCGCTGTTGGTGAATAGAAACTTTACTTTGTGACACTTTGTGTAAAAAGGAGCATAGATTTTTTGTGAATTAAAAATTTGGCCTCTATTTTTTCATTCAGGTTACCACGAGTTCAATTCTGTGGACTTCAGCGGGACTTTCTTCATCAACACAGAGAGGGATGATGATTATGCCGGCTTTGTTTTCGGCTACCAGTCCAGTTCCAGGTTCTACGTGGTGATGTGGAAACAGATAACGCAGACGTACTGGTCGAACAAACCCACCAAGGCCCAGGGCTACTCAGGCCTGTCGATTAAAATGGTCAACTCCACCACTGGCCCGGGGGAGCACCTCAGGAACGCCCTGTGGCACACAGGAAATACCCCAGGACAGGTAAGACACTTGGTGTTCTTTTGGAGGTTATACACCTGGATGGATCATTTTAAAGTAGGGATGTTTAAAAAGATAAACCCATGGCTGCTCATATCCCCGTGCTTTAGGTCCGCACTCTCTGGCATGATCCCAAGAACGTTGGCTGGAAAGACTTCACCGCCTACAGATGGCATCTGATCCACAGACCAAGAACAGGCCTCATTAGGTGGGGAGAGGAAATTAGTTAGTCCACGTTTCAGTTTACTCTTCACATGGGTTTGACGTAATCCCAAGTTATGGACCTCACCAACTTTCATTTTCCCCCCATTCTGACAGAGTTGTGATGTACGAGGGCAAAAAAATCATGGCAGACTCCGGTAATATCTATGACAAGACATATGCCGGCGGAAGGCTAGGTCTGTTTGTCTTCTCACAAGAGATGGTATACTTCTCGGACCTCAAGTATGAATGCAGAGGTAAGGATTTATGTAAAATCAACTTCCCGTAATGCATTTGTTGATCCCTGCCCAAGATCAAGGCCATTTTACCATGTCTCTTTCTTTCGACAGATGTTTAAAGGCACGGCAGGAAGCTCTGAGGAATGCACCTTTTTTGTACAAAGTATGAACTTCTGTACCCTGATGCAAATCTCCAGGGACCGATCTTATCTTTGCAACTCTTTTCCCTGCGAAACGCACACTCGGACAAGGCAAAGGGCATGTGTCCAGCCTCTGTGTCACTTGAGGCTGGTTAGGACAGAGAAACGACCGATTGGTTGCCAGCTGAAGATCAGAGCGCCCCTTAGTTTCTACCCTTAGTATCTACGGGAGCAAGAGGAGCTGGCCGGAAAGAAAACAAGCCCCCTAGCTTTGCCAGTAGGACACAAATACCTTGCTAGTCCAGCCTGCTTACCTGCTCTCTGAGAGACCTCATTCATCTCTGCGTGGGAATGGCTCCCCAAAGACAACTATGCACTTCCAAACCTGTTCATCTCTCTCTCTTGTACTGTCTCACCTCTTCAGCCTGTGTGTCTTTTTTTTACCTTACCTTTGGGATGGACACCCCAAAGAAAAAACAAAACGATGATACAGTATATTCCCTTTGCTATACCAGATCTGCAAGGATGTAGCATCTGAATGATACTTTTGAGGACTCAGAGGATGAAGACTGCAATAACATTTTTAGCGCTCTTGGTTATTGAGGACTTAAGGAAACTGTTGGGAGTAGAGCTCGTTAGAAATATGGGGATCATGATGTCATGGGTGTTTGTTTTCTGGCATGTACTGTATGTGGAAGACTGTAACAAAGTGATTTTAACCATCAGCCTAAAAATCTCTGTAGAGAAGAAAAAATACAAAATGAAAGTTAGCCACCTTTTGAGTTTACAAGTATCATGGGCTTGTTTATGCTGGTGTCTTGTTAACTCAACTCTCAGGGTGAGATGGGTGAGAAGTGACAAGCTTCCCATATTAAACCAGTAGGAACATAAAAACTGTTTCACAGAAGATTGCTAGGACAAATGTTCCCTCTAAATCTTAGATCAAAACCTTCATTGAAGAGATATAACTCTCAGTTTCTGAGGATTTTAATTTGAAATTATGTAAATACATGTAATGTATTCACTCTTACCTACAATGTAGGCAAAACAAGAAATGACAATGCTTTAAAAAAGCTAAACAAAATCCATATGAATATAACAGCAAAAACTGATCTACAATCCGGTACAGACAGCTGTCCATCGTGTCCAAGTGTCCAACATCTCTCGCTACATAAAGTAAATTCCTCCAATAGGGCTTTTGAGCAAAAAGCGTTTGTGACGTGACGCTTTTCTTTAGAGAGAGATGAAAACAAAGGACATCTTTAATGTACAAATATTACCTCATAGCTGTTGTATAATTTGATTTAACAAAAACACAACCAAGTACTTTTTCATATAAGATGGATTTCTTATTTCTTATCAGCTGTAAATAGTGTGACATTTCATTCCCTGTCGAGCTTCCAATCCCATAATCTACCCCAATGAAAAAAATAGTACAAATGGGAGGTGTCTTTTTTTTATAAATCATTTTGCTCTATCATGTATGTCCAGTGCTGTTTTTAGCAGATAAATTATGGTCTTAGCTGTTTGAAAGAGTTTGATTTAGTGTGAGTGTGTGTGTGTGTGTGTGTGTGTGTGTGTGTGTAGATAAATGCTATTTAAATAATTTATCAGGATCTGTTGCCTTCCCAAAGGCCACACGTCCATCTGTACAAACGGTTTGCACACTGACGCGAGGATGTTCTGTTCTTTATTGTTTTTACCTTCCTTGTTATTGTGTATCATTGTTACCATTATTTTTGTATAATTAGTTTGGCTTGTCTGTAAACATTTTCTTAGTTGTACAGAGCAAAAGTGCTGTTTTTATTCATAGCGATTATTTTGTTACATACTTCCAAGACAATAAATAGTTGTTAAAATGATAAACTGTGTCTCACTGTTTTCCCCACTATCTTTATTGAAGCTTCAAACATGATTTTCCGTATACACAAAATAATAAGACAGATTTACTCCCAAACAGAGCTCATCATGACAATGATTAGGACGTACTGTAGCCACAACACTACACACTTGAGCATAAAGTCAGAAAGATCACCCCAAGGCAACAAACAGCTGTTCTTTCAGGCCTCTCTCCCTTCAGACGGGCACACATCGTCCCTCGGGGCTGAAGGCCACATAAGGAATGTGACACAGACGTCGGGTCCTCGGCTCGAAATGCACGACCTCTCTGCGATCTGTGCTGAACTCACTGCAGAAGCTTATACAACACAGAGAGCAAATATTGGACCGACACAAACCTTGACATTGGCAGACTGGCTTCGGGACACAGAGGCTAAAAAGAAAATCAAAACAATTTCCTGTGAATGTCGATCTGTAACATCTGTCTCTTCTCTATTTGGGTAGTACCTCAGTGTGATCGCCCTATGTATTTACGGAGGTCTTCATACGGCCCAAAATGAAGAAAAACAACACTGTGGAAAACCTACCTAAGTACGACACCTGCACAGGAAAAGTGAAGTATTATTTACTTTAACTGTCCGTGCATTTACCTGCACTGCCTGCAGGAGTCATTCCATACAGACGCCTTACGGAGTCACACAGAAATTCTTTGACGCTTGACAGAGGAGAGTCGCAGGAAACCACAGCTTGACAACTAGCAGTCGGGAGCACATTTGAAACGAGACGTCAACGGGCTGATAAGCTAACAATCGATGAGTGACGCAGCGCTTAGAATAATATAATAATGCATTAGTTTTCAAATAAACCGTGAGAAACATCTGGTTATTTAGTGGGGTCTGACTGTGTTTTTTTTTTTATCACACTTTTTGGGTTGGGTTTCTTCTGAACAAGTGGAAGTGAAATTCATCAACAATGAACAACTTTGCTTATTTAAGACCAGAGTTTTGTTCATTACTTTCGGTGTATTTAAATATGATTCCAAGTCACGTTGTCACTTTCATTATTTTAAACAACAAGAACAAGATTATTTTTTGTGTGTAGTCCCTTTCTTAGAAGCTGGGGAGACTTTCAATCATTGGAGAATTAAGGTTTCAACCAGACTGTCTCAGTCTTCTCTAAAGGAAATACCTTCCAAAAGTACAGCCAGATGAGCTCGGTAGCCACAGATGACTCTCCACAAACTGCACATTTGCACTGTACGCAAGAGGAGTGAAAACAGCAGCATAGAGAAGACATTTTACTGTAAATGTACTATTGGATTCTGTAATCACATTATTGGGTATGTCTTGATCGGGGACCGAAACTGCGACCACAGACCTGCATGCAAGGTGCAGGTGCACCGGGAGGTTAAGAGCCACTGCTGAAGCGTTAACCGCTCTGCCACTTAGCCAGCGGGCGCACGCAAGTTAAAAACCAGGCTATCTATCATCTGTGAGTGAGCCAGGGAGGGAACGCGTCATTAGAACAGAGCTGTCGGTAAACGGCATAATGATTTCAAATTACGATACTACTAATAATGACTGAGGAGTTGGAGAATAAGTGGTGACATACCAGGTTACAGGTCACCACATGCGGGTTATCCTGGTGACATGATTTCAAACAGAATAGTACAAATGTGAGGTATGACACTCGGATAAAATGTGTAAGAGGCCGTGTGTGTAAAAGTGTGTGTATTGTTTAATTGGACTTTCTTATATTGAGGACATGTTATTGGATATATATGTTAGCATGACGCCCCCTTTATTTTCCTGCTTATATTGACGTCATGTTTGCAGCAGGTGCAACTGAGATGAGCTGATTAGGCACTAGTGCATCAGTTTTTCTACCGTGTGACGGAATGTGTTATTTTGTGTATTTAATTAACACGAAGGAAGAGAAGGAACGCCGCTACACCATGTGGAAAAAAGTTTTAAACATGTATAATTGAAATGAATAAATATCTGATCCCAGAATAAACACACAAGATGACTAACCAGGCCAGACGTTCTCGGCCAATTTGTCAATCTGTGCAGCCGGCACATTCTCGTCTGTTCCAAAAGGGTTTAGGTTGAGCTACTCACCTCTATTTTAAACACATTTTAGACACATTTAAACATTTACCACTATTTCTTCATGTTTAAACCCAAGTTTTCACCCCAAGTATTTTTGTATTTAGATATCTAAAACGAATTGTGTTGATCTTTTGTGTTTTGGAAGCATGTGCTCTCTGTGATTTCTATTAGCACCCTTTTACCACCTGGAACACCCTGAAGCTGTGGCATTCACTGCCCGTAATAGCCAAGTGTTTTTTTTTACCAGAAATGGAGGAGGCCAGGCAGCATCTGGCCACTGCAGCCGCAGCCTGCTTATGCTGGTCACGTCCGACTTGCCTGCATATCTCTCCCTCTCTCTCCCTCTCTCTCTCTTATTGGACTTTAATTGCATGCAGGCCGTCCAGTAGCGCCCGTGAGAGAGCCTTTTCCTTCAGGCTCGTCCAGAGAGTTGGCTGGGCAGCAGCTTCAGCACTTTCACATTCACTCAGTAGAGGAAAACACAGATGCAGGGGCTTAAACAAGCACACACACACACACACACACACACACACACACACACACACACACACACACACACACACACACACTTGCTTGCATAGATTTAATGGCACAAAATAGAGAACTGTGGCTCTTGCCATACTGCAACATGATCTAATCTACAATAGCTGTCATTTCTGATCTTATAGATCTTTAAATGTAGCTTAACATGTTTGGTGAACCCGCTGAATTGAGTCACCAGTCACTACATACATGTATGTGCCATATAAAACATACAATACTGCTTGATGGTTTTTATTTTGATACGTTTACCACAGTCAGAGGCCTTAATAACTGTGAGGTATGTGGACTGTTGTTTGGATCACTTCATGTTGGGGACGTTAACGGGTTAATCATGACAACTGGTCACATGCAATGACCCACCTGGAGTACAACAAGGAGGGGAAATGTACGTCCCTTCTCCTATTCCTACTTCATCCAACCAACCCTTCTTGTCGCTTTCTTGCAGCCGTACAGCCTCTTCTCCTTCCTTTTTCCACTAATCATTTCCAATTATTTTCTTCGTACCGTCTTTTTGAGTATACAAATTGACTTATTGTGTAACTGACAGCACTGGTATCTGATCAATTCCTAATCTGTGTTTAGATTTTTTTAAAAGTCTTCAGTCATCCACTGGAGGGGCCTTGTCTCTGTCCAGTGAGGCCCACAGAAAGATGACAACAAAGCATGTGAGTGGAAGTGGAGATAACTTGAAGCTGATGTAGTGTGGCGACCCTGCTCCGAGGGCCGCGTTGACTGACGCACACTGGTGCCGTGTGCAGACAGAAACAGGGGTGTGAAAGTAGAAAAAAAACGTAGCTTTCTTTGCATTTTACAGCAAACTCCATACCTGGAGGTATTTTCATACCTGGAGGTATTTTCTACAATATCCAACAAACTTTGGATATATGTAAATTCCAAGGTCAAGAATGATATGAAACACAATTCACGTCACAGTGAATACGTGAATCCAAAAAGGTAAGGAATTTAAATTCACAGATGAACTAAAAGTGTAGTCGGCAGTTTAGTTAGTTTGCCTCGTGTCTCTCACACGGCGCCGGCGGGCGGGACCGCACGCTTCTGACATACAGCTGTTTTGTCTTCAGCCCTTCCAAACTCCATCAAACTCACTGAAATCACTCACTCCCCTTCACAGGCCGGGATGAAGCCCGTCCTCACACGAACAGGCCGGCTACGTTTAAATTAATCGTTTCCACGCTGATAATCACAAACCAAGATTGCTTCAGTAGATTAGATCTAATTCCTTGGCCTCGTTAAGACCGGAAGACACATTTGAGTCTAATATCTTTTGACAAGTTTATAGAGGTGATGGTTACACCAGGCTTAACCCTCATCAGGCAGTGTGCTTTAAACGGCTTCATTAGTGGGGATGCTGACTGGCCTGCACGTTTAAGCCCACTATATACTCTTTGGTCACGGTGTTAAAGTAAAGAATGCATGAAGGCTTTGAGGTGATGGAGAAATTAGGGCAATTCTGTGCCTTTTTGGATTACAGGTTTAATTCCTAAATTGCAATGTAGATAACACCATAAATACATGGTTGGTAAGTGAGCGCTTTAAATGTGAATCAACGCAATTATAGGAGCTTTTGGGATAAAAATAGGAAATAAACCAGCTATGCTCGAAGAAATATCTGCAAACAATTAAAAATACAAATTTGCAGTTTTACTACAAAATATTTTATAGGTAGGTTTTTTTAGTTAGGTAGTCTTCACTTGCTCACTGTGCTCGGGAACTATTTGTCCGGTCTACACATTTCTATTTTCGGCGCCAACCAACCAACTCAACTGGCACCCGACAGGTGGTTATAGACTCCCAGAGCCTCCATTTAGTTATGAGGGGTCCCAAGCAGACGACGGCTGAAACAGCAGGTGCTCTTTTAAACAAAGGTTTGATCTATCTTTCTACAACTGAGCTGTTTGATGACAAATACTCCCAAATGTACAACAGATAAAAGACGCTGGTCAGGATTTCTGGGAAATACGTAATCTTATAGTTATATAATAACCAGTTTTATGGAGACGGTAATGTTTACAGCAGTTATATTTTTTCTATATCTCATTCCTGTAATATAGTTGAATCCTACGTATATAGCACCTTTCATCAAAAGAAATGCAGGACAGAAAGCCTGCAGGTTTATGGGTCAAAGTGGTACTTTTTAATACATTTTTGGGATCAAATTGTATTTGATGTGAGTAATAAGAACAAATGTTAAGAGCAATTTATTCCCACTGAAAGAACTGCCATCTCATTGAAAAACTGGTCCCACAAATCAGGGTTTGGTGTAATCATTTGTAATTGAATAGATAATGATTACAGAGTAGTGTGTGAGTCTCCACTCTGCAACAAGAGGTAAAACATTTATTACAAATATAT